TACTTTGCTGCACTGTGTTGAATTCCACCCAGTCTGAACTTCCAGGCCTTTTTAGGGCTGTTAGGGAAAACCCACCTATTCCAGCCTCAGTAATGGTAGACGCCCCTCCCCACCACTGAGGTCAGTCCTCCCAGGTCCACTCAGACTACTGTGCTGGTGAGGGAATATGTTCTCTTTCCGGGTCCATGAGGGGTTGTAGTTTTAAGGGCAAAAATTTCCCAATGCCATGCCCCCCTCCCATCTGTCACCATCAGGGAGATTTAACGGTTTATGTTTGAATTTTGTGGGTGCGGGAAGAAACTAAGAGTTAATCACCCCAGCGGAAGTTTAAAGGAACTCCTTTCATTGGCCAGAGGAACTTGGGAAGGTGAGAATTTCTCCCAGGATAAATTCCCCTGCTCCTTCACCCACGCCGGATTTCCAGCTCTCTGGAATCCCCTCCTACATGGTGGGGGCTCCCTTTCCCCTCTGGGATTTTCCCCTCTGGAATCCCCTTCCACACTCTTCGTCGAAGTCTTTCTCTTCTCTTTCCTCTACCTACATAAAATCACCTTTCTGCAACACTTCTTGGGTCCGATATTTACTGTTACGAGCATATGGTGCACCTGAAGTGGTCCCATCACTTATTCTTTGAGAGAGATTGGAGACCAGAACCCACAGCATTCTCTTGGGAGAGCTGTGCCTCACCAGCACCCAAGAAAAAAACCCAGTTACACTGGCAGTGAGAATTTCAGGCCAGTGGTTCTTAGCTTGCTGGGCTTTGTGGGAGTTGCCCTGCTGAGTGAGACCACTTTGCTCCCTGTCTTCAGCCCCCTTTCCAGGGGAGTGAACAGTTCTGTATTGCTAGGGTTCTAGGCGCCACTGGGGTATGAAAAACAAAACTGAAAAACAAAACTCCTGCAGCTAGCTTGGTGTCTGCCCAAACAGCCTCCCAGTTTTGTGCTTGAAACCCAGGGTCCTGTTGGTGTAGGCACACGAGGGGATCTCTTGGTCTGCAGGTTGCAAAAAGCATGGGAAAAGTGTAGTATCTGGGCTGGAGAGCACAGTCCCTCACAGCTTCCACTGGCTAAGAAAGGGAGGCTCCCCTGCTCTTTGCACTTCCAGTGTGAGGCGATGCCCCACGCTGCTTCTGCTAGCCCTCTGTGGACTGCCTAACCCACTGCCTAATCAGACCCAATGAAATGAACAGGGTACCTCAGTTGGAAATGCAGAAATTACCCAGCTTCTGTGTTGGTCTCACTGGGAGCTGCAGACTGGACTTGTTCCTATTTGGCCATCTTTCCAGTCAATCCTAAAAGCAATTTTTTTAGGCTCCCACATATGAGAATATGTGTTGTCTTTCTGTGCCTGGGTTGTTTCACTTAACATCATAATATCGTCCAGTTCCATGTTGCAAATGACAGGATTTCATTCTTTTTAAAGACTGAAGATGACATGATGTACATATACATTTTCTTTATCCATTTGTCCATGCAGGGACACTCAGGTTGATTACACATCTTGGCTATTGTGAATACTGCTGCAATAAATATGGCAGTGCAGGTATCTTGATATACTGATCTCACCTTTGGGTATACAACCAGCAGTGAGAATGCGGATTACACAGTTCTATTCTTCATTTTTTGAGGAGCCTCCATACTGTTCTCCTTAGTGGCTATAGTAATTTACATTCCCACCGACAGTGTACAAGTGTTTCCCTTTCACCATATCCTCACCAGCATCCATTATTGCCTGTCTTTTGGGTAAAAGTCACTTAAACTGGAGTGTGATATTTCAAATGCTTTGATTTACATTACTCTGGTGATTAGTGTTGAGCATTTGTTCATATACCTGTTACCCATTTTGATGTCTTCTTGTAAGAAACGTCTATTCAGATCTTTTGCCTATTTTTAATTGGATTTTTTTGGGCTATTAAGCTCTTTATATAGTTTTTACTTCCTTGACAGTTGGGTAGTTTGCAAATATTTTCACCCATTCTGTAGTGTATTATTTCTTCACTTTGTTTCCTCTGCTGTGCAGCAGCTTTTTAGCTTGATGTGATCCCATTTGCTCATTATCACTTTGGTTGTCTTTGAGGTCTTACTTTTAAGAAATCTTTGGCCAGCCCAAACTTTTATAGAAGAGATTGTCCTTTCCCGAATGCATGTTCTTAGTGCCTTTGTTGAGATGACTGCAAGTAAATACACGAACTTACTGCTGGGTTCTCTATTCTATTCCATTGGTCTGTGTCTTGTTTTTATGCTTCTATCATGCTGTTTTGGTTACTATAGCTTTGTCATATATAATTTGAGGACAAGCAATGCGATGCCTCCAGCTTTGCTATTTTTGCTCAGGATGGCTTTGGGTACTCTGGGTCTTTCGGGGTTCCATACAAATTTTAGAATTTTCTTTCCTATTTCAGGGAAGAATGTCATTGGTATTTTGATAGTGATTGCATTGAATCTGTAGATTGCTTTGGGTAGTAAAGCTGTCAGGATTTCCTGATAGATTGGAATGGGTTGGAAGAGAGTCATCAAGATTCTAGGCAACTAGAGGGATGGATTTATCATTCTTAAGACTTGGGAAAACTGGGGCAGGAAAGGAGGAAAGGTATGTTTTATAGATCTAGATTCAAGAACTGGGAACAAATAGTTGGCATGTTGTAAGAAAGATGGTTACAAAACAAATAGTCATCTCAAAATCAATAGGACATCCTTTGTGTCTATCACTAGAAGTAATCAACCTAAGATTCATGTGTATCAGCTATGACAGAAGGAACTATGGGAGTTGATTTATAAGGATTCCTCTTAAGATTTTACTCACATACATGTTTTATCTTTCATTCATTAATATTAAATAAGAAAACATAGGTAAAACTAGTATCAGGTATCAAATTTTTACTTTCCATTTTTTCTAGAAATTCAATTTTTAAAAACTTCAAGATTTAAATTCAAATCTGAAAATCTGTCCTACCCCCTTGAGTCAGCATGAAAGTGACTGAAGAACAGGGACCTTATTAGTCTTTTATGAGTTTTGTGTTATTCCAATATTGTAAATAGTAGACATTCAATATGTGAATGAAGTTTACACTTAAGTTTCTAAGGTTTTTGACATTGCCAAATTGCCCCCTAAAAGTACCAACTCATATTCTAGTCACCAAAATGACAGGATTTCCCCACAACTCTGCAAATACCAAGATGTACATTATTTTTATTGTTGATGTTAATCTGCATTTTTATTTGCATTTTTTGCCAACAGTGGGGTTCAAGATGTTTCATGTTTTATTGGCCATTTGTATTTTTTTGTGAATCAAAATTTGATATGTTTTGTATTTTTCAGTTGATCTTTTCTTACCAATTGGAATCTCCATTTTTATGACATTAAAAACCCTGTCATATGTTGCAAATATTTTCCATTACCTTCTGCCATATAAAAATTTAAACTATACAAAATTTCCTTTGTTTTTAGCTGTCATATTTTGCTAATCACAATTTCATTCACTCAGTGTTACATTACTAATTATATTATGTATAAGGAAACGTACTAAGTATTTGTGTGTGGGTACCAAATAAAAACCAGAATAACTGGACACGTGGCTCTGAAGCAGTATGCAGTGAGTGTTGTAAGAATGGTAGTTTGCTCTAAGTGTTTGTATGAGAGAACAGGTATCTTTTCCTAGAATGATTCAGATAGCATTTAAAAAGTCAAAGTCTAAATCAGGCCTTGAAGAAGTGTTAGGATTTGAAAGGGTCAAGGTGTTAAATAAATTGCACAAGCAGAAGTAGAAAACAGAAAACACAAGGCATCTTCAAAGAATAGTGAATAATCCAGTATGGGTTAAATAGTATTGCAGGGAAACTGTATAAATATGGTTTGAACTATATTCAAAGAGTAGTATTTGCTGAATTGTTTTCTGAATACTTTTCATTATGTGGCCTGTAGCTGGTTTCCTTAGTGCCAAATGTTTATTTGGCATATTATAATCCTTGGAAAATGAAGGATTTTCATGAAGAAACTGCATGAGATTTTTATTTTCACACTCCAACACCTAAGGCTTTCCCACTTTGTGTTATGACGCAATTGGTTGACTAATATTATATGATTTGAGGACTACACTGTACTTCTAGTAGCTATTTAAGGCCCCTTTAGGACTGAAACTTATAGAAATCAGATTCTAGGTATTATCCAATCTCATTTTGATTTCAGATAAAACATTAATTTACTTTATTCCTTAAATATGATGAATTCATTATGAAGTGTTTGGCATAAATATTGTAATATCATATACCTTGTGTGCCATAGGTCATCTATGCACAGTTAGCATGACAATATTGACATTTAGTCACAAACAAGGAAAACTTAAAATATTACCTGAATGTTCAATTTTTCCCCCAAGTTTAATTAGACTTGAGAGTTTAAAACTAAATTGTGTTTTAGGTTCCAGTCACCCAATAACTTATCAGATCCAGGCTTAATTATTGTTTAATGTTGCAAATTTAGCGCAGAATGATTCTCTGAGTAAAGATCAAGAAATAATTAAATATGATTTGAAAAAGTAAAAAGTTCAGACCGGGGCATGGCGGCTCATGCCTGTAATCCCAGCACTTTGGGAGGCCACGGCAGGTGGATCACCTGAGGTCAGTCTGGGCTGGCCAACATGGTGAAACTCCATCTCTATTAAAAATAACAAAACATCAGCCAAGCATGGTGGCAGGAGACTGTAATCCCAGCTACTGGGGAGGGGGAGGCAGAACCGCTTGAACCCAAGAGGCAGAAGCTGCAATGAGCCGAGATTGCACCATTGCACTCCAGCTTGGGCAACAAAAGCGAAACTCCGTCACTCTCACTCACACACACACACACACACACACACACACACACACACACACACTGCAAAGTCCTATGTATTCTTCAGAGTTGTTAGGAAAGAATACAAGGCTAGCTACATATTAAGCTAACCTTAGATTTAATAAACTATTAAGTTATTTAGGTCAAGAGAGTAATTAAATTGATGCTACAAATTCAACAAGCATTTTTGATTTTTGAGGTCTATCATCTGAAACCTCAGTGGCAAACATAATACACAAATTCAACCTATTTTTGCTATTTGTTAAATATGCGAATATATTCACTTCCTTTAGTAAACTGGACAAAACTAGAGGACAGACCTTTTCCAAACTCAAATGATATAAATACTTGGAATTCTACTACATACCATTTGAGATTCTGTTTTGAAATTTCATTCACATTCCATTCAATTTATTAGAATGCCTTTTTTTTCCCATTTGAGATGGGGTCTCATTCTGTTGCCCAGTAGGGATGCATTGGTACAATCATGGCTCACTATACCCTTGAACTCCTGGGCTCAGGGGATCCTCTTGCCTCTGCAGCCTAATAATGATTTTCATTTTTATTTTTGGAGAAATGGGGGTCTTGTCTTATTACCCAGGCTGGTGTCAAACTCATGGCCTCACAGAATCCCCACACCTTGCTTGACCTTCCAAAGTGCTGGGATTACAGCTGTAAGCCACCATGCCTAATCTGGAATGCTTTCTAAAAATATGGCATTACAAATACAGAAGGAAGAAAAAAAAAGTTAAATCTCACTTCCAGAAATTATCAGTCTAATAGCATCAGTAAAAGTGGTACTTTTAGTCATGGCATAAAATACACATTAAGGCTACTTTTCAATTATTGCGTGCTTTCAAGTTGAAAAATGCATTCTGAAACATTCAAAAAGATGTTACTGAGTTTACTCATCAAGTGCTTTTGACACTATAAATGACAAAGTAACACCACAGTTACATCACTGAGACTCAAGAATCCTTAAATGATAGGGCTGAAAATAGGTATATGACTTATTTTCCAGAATTTGTATGTTTCTGTATCCCCCAAAAAAATTGAACTATGCATATTGTCTAAAATTATAGTCTTTCAATCTATCAAACATGCTTGCTCTCCTGGCTAGATATTAGCTAAAAATTAGCCAAACAGCCATTTCCCGTTATTCCCCAGCAAAGATGTGAAACCAAAGTGCCTAACCTTTTCCGCCTGGTGGGCTGCCCTCTACTGGACTATTTGAGGTATTCAGCCAGCAGGTCAATGTGACTGTTTAAGAAGGTAACCACCATAGACATAAATGTAAACATTAAAAAAAAAAAGGAACTCTTTAGTAAATTAACTTTTACCATGAAAACAACTTCAGTCATTTTGAGAACTGGCAATGAAGACATTTACACAGTCTTTGTCTCCTTTTCAATCTCAGAGGCAGATCTCCAGCAACAATTCTAACGGGTAGGAGCTATGGGTATACTATAACGACCATGTTTTATGATGATTTAAATATTAATACAAATCACATTTTTGTGAGTCCACTCATGCTATGGATGTTTTCTTATGTACAGAGTAGACACATGCTGAATAGATGACATCTGTCAAGTCTCTTGCCACAAGCATCAAAACTTTTCAGAGCTGTCTCTTCTGTGAAAATCCATCTCATGTAGTAAGTTGATTTTCTTTGTGGTTCATCCCCATGCCTGGGATTTGCAGTAATGTAGAACCAGTTTACCATCACTGCCAAAACACTGCAAAAAGAAAAAAAGGCAATAAATCAAACTCAATCTTTATTATTCTTAGATGAAACTAAGAAAATAAATGCTTCATGTATCATAAATATCCACTCAGGTATATTAAATTACCTATGTTACAGGCTATCTCTTTCAAAGGATGCCTGTTTATATCAGACACATATTAATAATCGTGTTTAATAAAATCTATCCTTTAAGCATCTTAGGCATGAATGAGCTTACATACTTTAATCTTGTCCTTCTCTACATCTCCAACCACACTGTATGTAATTTCAGCTGTTTTCCAGTAGTGGTGCTAGTATATGTCCTCTAATGACTACTGCCATGAAACTGTAAGATGTTGAAAAGGTCACTGTTATGCTGTTTTTTCAATTTCTTGTAGGCAGATTTGGATGACAGATTGTAAGAACAATGTAGACGAAATCAAATGTAGATAAAGAAAAGGCCTAACTTTCTAAGAATTACAAAGATGACTTTGAAATATAATTTATTTCTTGGTTCTTCAATCATTGTATTATTTATTAAGATCCTACTATGATCAAGATATTAGAGAGGTAATAGAACAAGAAGGTCATCTTTTCTATCCCAGACAATGAAGAATGGCATGCCATCGCTTGAAATAAAAATGTGAATTAACAATACTATACAATATACATATTATACAGATGTGCATACTCCATTAAGGAAAAAAACAGTAATTTTTTTTTTTTTTTTTTTTACCTCATAGAGAGTTCCAACTTCTTGGTCTGGGGAAGGAGCAAAGGATTGATTCACATAAATAAACTACAATAAAGGGGAGGAAAACAGAGATGTTTATTGGTATCCTGATTAATCTGCATTTTTCTGGGTTCCAATCAGCTAGCTATTTTGTATCATTTTCACAATTGAAGAAATCTTCTCGGAATTTCTAACTTTTCTAAAATAGTGAATTTAAAGAGATGAAGATCTCATTTTTCCTCCAGAAGAACCAAAATAACACAATTTAAGTTCCCAGAAGAGTGGTTCCTAACTTTTTAAAGCTAAGAAACTTTTAAATATTTTTTTATAAATGGCTTTTGAAGGGCTGGTTATTCAAGAAATTACATTATAAAAATTTCCCCACTTACCCATAAAGAATTTCTCCTAAGAAAATTTCACACACAGATAAAAATCAATATATTTAATATTCAAGATAGTTTGTGCATTTTCTTTGGGTAAACGTATGACATATATAAATTTTTTATAAAGTCACTTTCAGGTAAATGAAGCAGGAAAAAAAGGAACATAATTAAAACCTTATAACCTGGCTCTTTAAAGGATTCACTGTTCAATGTTTTAGTTTAGTCTGTTTTTACTAAAATATTTCTAGTACTTCAAGTCACAGTGTCAAAGTGCCTTCTAATAATTTTCTTTTTGGAAAACATTATTTGCTTTAATATCCAAATTTGGGACTAAAATGTCCTGAATTTAACATAGTATTTTTTTTTTTTTAAGCCAGTATCAGAATAGTTGGTTGACAGATACTATTTTGATCACCAACCATGAACAATCAATACTGCTTGCATCTCTTTTGGGCAACACAGTGTGGTGATTAAGTATATAGGCTCTACTGAGACACGTCTGGGTTTGAATCCTGGCTGTAACTGCAAATGGTATCTCTCATCCTGTTTCCTTATTTGTAAGATATGGAAAATAATAGGACCTATAACTCTTGGGTCTGTTAGGAAAGACAAAAATGACATAATAAAACACCAATTATCAGTCTCTGGTATGTGTACTAAATAGATGTTATTGTTAATTGATCTTTAAAGAGTTATACTGAAATATCAATTTGTGCTTAAGGCAGAGTAGAGTTCTAACATAAAAATTTCAAACTGTAACAGAAAACAATGAATTTTAATGTGTATTTTTTGTAATACAGATATAATTTGTGTTCAATGCCTGGCAATTTATGAGCAAATAGAGATTTTACTTTTTGTACATTACAAATGAGGGGAAGGGCTCTCAGTAATAGCTTATTTATTTCATGAGTGTCTATGATATGCTGAGAACGGCACATGGAACTATGAAGATTGAAGTGATCTCTACCCTCAGTGAGCTTTCAATCTATAGGACAGGGAGACACACATGAATACATACAGGTGAGGAAAGTACATCTAATAAAGTATGTAGCATACAGAAATGTACACTAGTCCAGCCTAGCAAAAGAATCAAGAAATGCTTTGTGGGAAGAAAGAAGTAGAATTTAACCAGGTAAAGAAAGTAGTAATTAGGACTTTGTAGGCAAAAAGGACAGAGTAAGATGGTGTTGAGTGTTCACAGAAACACACTAGATGGAGCAGAGAACCAACCAAAGGAATTCAATATAATTTTGTAACAGGTGTTAAATGGAAATTTTTAAAAAGCAATTCAGTTTAAAAGAGATAAAGCCATGTGTTTGTATACTATAAAGTTCTATACAAGTAACGGGTTAACATCATCAATTTCACTGTAGAAATGCTAAGTGGCTTAAAATTTGTTACGTTTAAAGTAGATGTAGTTTCTTCAGGTTTGTGAAAGTAAAATTCCACAGAAGTTATATTTCCAAACTACAAGAACTTAGGTAGAAAAAATTATTTAATTAAATAACTACACTTTGCTTTTAAATCATTTTTTTTTCTTTTTTCTTTTAAATCAGCAGTCTTTAACGTCTCTAGTTCTTTTTTTTTTTTTTTTTTTTTTTTTTAAAATTTTTCTTTTGTCTAGTAGATTCCTCATGAAGGGATTATTGGAAAAGTATTCCCTGCTAATAGTTTGTGCTCTGATTAAGTCAGTTATGCAGGATATGAAATACTTATCTCTCACATTTTCCTTAAGCCTTTCTGCTATCAAAGTTTGATGATAGCCTAATTTTCTAAGTCATGCCATCTTCCCCACCCCTGATTTTCTAAGTCATGCCGTCTTCCCCACCCCTAATTTTCTAAGTCATGCTGTCCTCCTCACCCCCTACATTTCCAAATGATTTCAAGTCCAGTAATTTTAAAGGAATTTATCCTGATGTTCATTATTCCTGGTTGATATTCTCAGGCACTTGGAATGTTTCTTCAATATGTAGTTTCAAGTCTCTTATCTTAAATTGTATTTTTACAGTATTCGTTCTGTTTCCCTGCTCTGGTTTTCTTCTTCACGGACGCTTGTCCAAAGGTTGACTCTTCTTTTAAATTTTTTTCATCTTCTATTTTTCTTAACCCATTATCCGTTGTTTATGTTCCTTCTTGTTTAGTTTCCATTTATGAAATAATTTTTTATTTCTAATTCTTTTCCTAAACTCTGTCACTTCATTTCTTAGTTTTACTAATGCTGATTCTGTTTTTCTTTCATGTTTTATACCATCTTCTTGTTTGTAGATTGCTTTGAAATGCAAGGTTACGGTTTTCGCCTTTACAGGCGTATTTTTGTCTTGATTTCATTGTCTCTAGGGATGTTGTTCTATTCCACATCACTTTTTTTCTTGTAACACTGTACAGGATTTGACCTTAATACTTCCTGTTACTGTTTTTATGTGAGATTAGTTTCCCTCAACTTTTAGAATGAGGTGAATTAGGGTAGTTTTCCTAACTTCACAGAGCTCCCTCTGTTGTTTTTGTACTGTTCAAAATGATGGAGGCTGGCTTTGAGCTTTCCAGGCTCTGTTCTCCTCCACTTTGATCTGGTCTGTTTCCTTCCTTAACCATGTCTCAACCCTTTTCAATTTTCATTTCCTGAAATTTCTCCTCAGTATGGGGTCCTGGAGCCCTCCTGGGTCTATTTTGACATTGCCTGAGCCCCTTTAAGTCCTCCTTAGTGCAGATCTATTGTGATCATGTGCTAAAGGGCAAAACCCCTCTCAGTCAGCTTCTATGTTTAAATTAGCCCACTTTGCTTCCCAGTGAGGATCTATTAGCTCTTCTGAGGTTCTCCTTTTCTCAGTGCTGTCAGATGCCAACCATGTTGTACTTACTGCTTCTTTTAGCACAGATGCTGATACCAAGCAGGTCCTGTGGTTGCTGGTGGTTTGTCCCCACCAACACATGTTTTGGGGTTCATGAGGATACCTTATCACCTCATTTTGTTATAAATATTAATCATGGGTTTTTGGTTTTGCTATCTAGTTAACTAAGTTTTGTGGGAATTTGTATGCCTTTTGATACCACTGCTATCTTCCCAGAATTCTCAGCATTACTTTTTTCCTTTAACATCCATTTAGCTAGTTAAAACTCAGAAGATGTCAGTTTTAGTTTAATCCAGGAAAATGACAAAATAAATGTTGTTTATGTTTCCCATTGCTTAAATGGGAAAGCATAATCATATTCACTACAAAGGCTTTAATTTTACCCATACAAAATTTTCATAGGCTAAAATGGTTGAATGATGGAAATTTTATATGGTTTAACCTACTATATACTGGTATCAATCAAGTCCTTTCAGGTTATTGAATGAATATAGGCAATACAAAATTTCAAGACTCTTAATATTAACACAGAACACAGTATCATTTCATCTTTTATCTTCATGTATTTTTAAACTAATGCATTAAATTACTCATTACTCTTACCAACTCTTCATGTTGCGTCTTTAGTAGAGACATAGCCTCTACTCATTTCTCTTAAGCATAGGTCCTTATTCCCCTGACTTTTCCATTTAGCTTCCAACTCTAGATAACATCCTCTGTTTGGGAGTATAGCAACTATACGCACTTGGATGACACAAACTTCTTGCTCATCTTTGATAGCTCCCCCTTTAATTAAATTCTACATGGCACTCTTATAAAACAGATGCTTTTCTCACTCTGATTGATCACCAAGGGAGACACTTACCTGTAAAACTCAATTATTCCCAATTCCTTTTCCCAAACAACTTTCCTTGGAGAAATCCCTGGCTTTATGTCATTCTTGTCTCAAATAACTTCTAGTTATAAGCCTACCTTGCATTTACTTTTTTAATATGAAGTCCCTTTTGTGAGAGCACTTACAGCCAAACTCTTAGATCAGAGTCAGTTTTTTGCTCCTCACTGACAAAAAGAAATTTCCAAAATGTTCTGCTTCAGTGATAGTTAACTTGTTTTCCCCATCCACAAATCAAATATTTCCCCCTAGCGCCCCCACACAAAAATTCCTGATTTTATTTTAAAAAATACTTAGTGATTCTTCAGCTACCTATCCACTCATGTTCTCTGAGTTAATACTATCTAAGATTGTGATCTATTTGCAGATAAAGGTGACTGATACATATAAAAATATGAATATATAAAACAATATGCTGAATACATGTAGACATTTAAATTTCTGTAGTCAAATGTCAAATTAAAATGCAGCGGCATTTAAAGTATTAACCTTTACAACTGCCACCGTGAAGTGGTTAATGTGTACTGTAACATGAATAAGTATATCTCTTAGTTCTTTCATAATATATGGCAAAGATACATTGCTTACCTCAAGAAAAATAGGAAAAATGTAATTGCTATCAAAACAAATTGGAAAAAACCCAAAACTTCTGTAGTCATGTACAGATAATGTAATGTTCCATGACAGATTTTTTTGCATGGGTATTCAGTGACTTTCTGAGGAAAACAATACAGGAGGCAAAAAAAAAAAAAAAAAACCCACACAAGCTGGTTCACAGTGTAAAAAAAAAAACCTAAAATATTTCATTTCAGAATTCCCCAGAAAATCCTTCAATAAAGTATATAAATTTCACTAATAAGAGATAAGGTAGGGCATGGTAGCATACTCATGTAATCCCAGCACTCCTGAGGTGGGCAGATACCTTGAGCTCAGGAGCTCAAGACTAGCCTGGGCAACATGATGAAACCCAGTCTGTACTAAAAACATAAAAATTAGCCAGGCGTGGTGGTGCACTCCTGTAATCCCAGCTGCTCCGGTGGCTGAAGCAGGAGAATTACTTGAACCAGGAGGAGGAGGTTGCAGTGAGCCACTCCACTCCAGCTTGGAAGCAACGGAGTCAGACTTGTCTCAAAAAAAAAAAAAGAGAGAGGGAGAGATAAAAGGGAATAACCAAAGCAACATGTGTGGCTCCATATGCATTTCTATAAACAACAGTTATTCATTGTTGCCTAGGAACCATTGCAAATTTTTGTAGGAAAACAACACCACTGGTTTCATACCAACTGTTCTGAGGCCACAAGTTTAAGAAACTTTTTGATGAAGTCAATGAGTCCTTGGATGGTTCGTGTTCGCTCTACTGCCCATTTCTTTGTTTTCATAATAGGAGTATCTCCCACAGCCTTCAGCAAAATGTCAACTGTAAAAGAAGAAAAAAATTTACTGATAATTACATTGGAATATCTAAAGAGAATGGAATATAAAAGACTTAGAAGTCAGAAATATTTAATTTACATCCATCTTATGTATTTATGATACTAAAGATATGTAAGAGATGTAAAAATGTTAGATTCTTTTTCATTTTTCTTTTTCTTGAAACTACAAAGTTTTCCTAACAGGACTAATTTTTAAAGTGCATTTTATCTTAACAGGCATTCCAAACAGAAGAAATACAAATAATCAACAAATAAACAGAAGTTCAAAAAAGGAAAGTAAAATAATGTCATGTCCCTTTTCACCTACCAAACTAGTAAAAATTAGAATAATTAACAGTGTAGATGATACTACATTGAGAATACACTACACTACATTGATAATATGAAATGGTATTCACTTTATGGGTATACAATATGGCATGCACTATGCTAATACAGGTCCCAAAGAAGGTATACTTTGATTCAATAGCACTTCTAGGAATCTAGTCTAAGAAAATATGAGATGTGTAAAAATTCACTTAAAAAGATCTCACCTCCATTTAAGCATTTACTTTTATATGAAACACTGTAAACCTAAATATCCAGCAAGGATATTTGGAGATGACTGATTAAAAGATATTATACTCAATGATAGAATGTAGTAAACAGCACACACTTTAAACTGCCTGGGGTTCAAATCCTGGTTTTGCCACTTGCTGGGTATATATGTGGATAATTTAATCTCTCCATGCCACATTTTCTTCATTAGTAAAATGAGGATACTAGCACCTACTCCACTGCATTGTTTTGAGGAGTTAACACATGTTTACAACAGCATGCAGCATACATAACTCATACTTAACAAACCTTAAGATTAAACAGCCTTTATAAAAACACATTATAAAAGTATATTTAATGGCAGAGAAAGTTAGAAAAATGTTCTAAACACAAAACAACATGTATAATATGATCTCAATTTCATTAAAACCATCACAAACACATTAACATAAATATTGAAGAACATGCACCAGAACGTTATTTCTCAGTAGTGACATTATAGGCAATGATTACTTTGTTTTACTTATGCTTTTTGTAACTACCAAATTTTCTACAATAAACTTTTTAATAAAGGAAAGCAGTAAGTTTTAACAATAAAATAGAACCAAAGGACAAAACGAAGTTGCAAAAGGGAAATCTTAAGGTTTCAATGATCCAAAATACAGATCTGCAAAATCAAAGCCTATGAATCTGTCTCTTGAGTAAAGTTATTTTGCTTAAAAAAAAAAAAATCTGGCAGGGTGCAGTGGCTCACTTCTGTAATCCCAGCACTCTGGGAGGCGGAGGTGGGTGGATCACCTGATGTCAGGAGTTCAAGACTGGCCTAGCCAGCATGGTGAAACTCCCTCTCTACTAAATAAAAAAATTAGCTAGGCATGGTGGGGCATGCCTGTAATCCCAGCTACTCGGGAGGCTGAGACAGGAAAATCGCTTGAACCCGGGAGGCAGAGGTTGCAGTGAGCAGAGATTGTGATGCTGTCTCCAGCCTGGCGACAGAGCAAGATTCCGCGTCCAAAAAAAAAAAAGACAAAAAAGTCATCTACAATCAAAGGCTACACACATTGAAAGCAAAATAGTGTACTGCTGCCCCCTAAAGTTAACTCTATTCTATTACACCCTTCTTGCTCCATTCTTTTGGTACTGTTGGGGCCGATTGGGATCAGAGGTCAATTTATTCAAGTTTACCTCTAGAATGAAGGCATCTAGAACATATGATGCACACACACTTTATTTTCCTGCTACAGAACTACTTAACCATCCTAGGTCCCAGTTATCTTTGGAATAGGAAGGAATTTGGGATTTTGATTAGCTTATCTTTCACACTTCCCTTCACTGCTCCCTCAATCCCCTGGGGCTATCAGTAAATCAATTAATGCAATTAAACATTTCCAGAAAGTGAAGCAGAAAATATTATGAGTTATGCTACCTAAGGAAGAAGTATGAGACAGCGAGAAACTGGATAAGGAAAAGAATTTAATTATAGCTGCCCTCTCTTTAAAGGTGATTTGCTTTAGTTCTGAACTCCGGATACACATTAATCAACTAGGGGAATATTTACTCCCCAGGTAACCTAACGTACTGCCAGTGCCACGATCTTGGTCTGTTTCAACCATCTTTATTCTGTAGATTAAAACAAAGGCTGAGCATACAAAACAGTTAAACTGCTTTCATCAGATTATCCTCAACAAATGATGACTACCCTCGAGGTAGGAATTCAATAGTCAGAAACTAAGTTTTATATTGGAGAGGTAAATTCAAATGCTAACAAGAGCCAGAAAATAAAAATCTGATCCTTAAATGACAGTTCAATTTGCAAAAAAACATTGTACAGACAAAAGAAACTGCGCCCTCGAGCAATATTTACATCGTAAATCACTGTTTTTTTAGCTTCTGTTTTACACAGCTATCATCAGGGTCAAGTAAGTAACAAGCTTTTGACTAAGACTGTTAGACCTTAAAATGAATCTCGGAAAGTCTGCTCTTGCCTATAGCAAACTGGAAGAAAAAAAATGCAACAAAAACCTGTAAAACCCGCGGAATTCTTTTGAATAAAGATTCTAATGGCTATCCACAGAAATAATCATAGTGTATCACGTGGAAATGGCAGTATGATTTAAAGGGGAATGGGGGGCAGTCTTGGGAGAGAATTCTCCTCAGCAGCAGAAATTGAAGTTCGATGAAAAGA